CCCACGAGGTGCTGGTGTCTCCAGTTGTGAAATAATAACCTTTGGCATCATTTTGAGTGTTGGCATCAGTTACGGTAAAAGGCGTAACTACTGGTATATGTTCATCTGATACAATTGTAAATTCCAGTTCAAGTGGAGCATCACGAAGAGGTAAATAATAATTGCTTTCTAACAGTCCGCATACTAGTTTATGTCCTAATCTCATATAACCATTAGCGCCAGGAATTCCTGCTACTGAATGGCGAGTATATCGCGCTGTTAAGTCTCCCCAGTTGTTATGGTCCTTTGTAGTTGGAAATGTAACTGCCTCGGGGTCGGCAGCGGGATTGGTTCGTGTATTAACATCTAACATTTCTGCTAATCCAGTAGCATATGTATGTCGCCAGTCATCATCCCAGCGAGGATTAGCACCACCTTCTAAATCGTCCATATCTCGGGCATCTTGACTTTTAAAAGAATTATACAATTCACAGTGCCTATTGTATTCAATAATATCCTGAACTTGCTGACCTCCAACAGTGCATCTGTAACGACTGAAGAAGGATGATAAATTACCTAACGGTCGTAAAAAATGACTTCGTGTTCCGTCGGTGTTTTGAAGATTTGCAAATAAACGAATACTTGATAAATCAATATATGTGTTGTCTTCTCCTGATATATGAAATCTAATATTTTTGTTTCCTGCATTTGGATTATAAACATTACTAGCCTGATGGAAAATAATTAACGTGTCTTCTGTCTGTGATGTATTGTGCTGTTTCAGGAAGTCCAAAATTTAACGAATTAATCATTGTAGTTTCACTTTCTGCAATTATATTATCCATTACTTATATATGATAAACTTAGATTTTATTTTTTTATTTATATTTTTCTTATGTGGAAGCATTGTAGTAGAATTATTTGAAGTTGTATTTTTTATAGTATTTAATAAATAATTGTTTTTTGTATCAACTATATCTTTTATAGTATCATAATCTAAATTCTTATATGGTTTATCGTATTTTGTAGCTTCTTTTGTCAGTTTCTTCTCTAATGGAATTTTGTTTTGCTTGTCTTTGTTTCTAAACATTATTATTAATATTATTTAGATTTTATTGTTCTGGTGTTGAATTAGGATTAAAGCCTGTGTCTTTGTTGGTAGTAGGATTTATACTTGTGAGTCCGTTTCCTTCCCAATTTTGATATCCATGGTTTTCTAACACATTTACTGAACCAATATCAGCAGTAATCGCGGCATCATCTAATATTGCTATAGGGTCATTCTTGTTTTTAAATCGTAAGTATCGCGGGTTTTTCTGCTGGTTAGTTCCTGATACAAAAGGTGATGAATAAACAGTAGTAGCATATTTGTTGCCGTGTCTGTTGTTGATTTCTTGAACAACGGATGAACCGAGGGAATGGCCGACCAGTCTATCGACATCTGGATTTTTACTTAATTCTTCCATTGCGTCCTTATATCTTTCACTTAATTGAATATTATGAGTAGGAATAAAAAACAAATCTGCAATGACATCATTGACTTTGTGGTCTAGTCCTGTTTTAGCACCAGTGCCACCAATATATAAAGTGTTGCCTACTCTTGTTATTCCATTTATATTTGAATACGCGGCGTCTAAACCTTTAACATCAGCAATTTTATTTTTATTTTGAACATTAATTTCTTCAGCATATCGTGTTTTGTTTTTCATTCTGTGCTTATCAAAATGTTTATTGAAACCTCCTATTTTGTCTTCCAATGTCTTTTTATGATTAAAAAATACATCTTCTATTAAATCCTTACCTGCCGTATATGCTTTATCACTTGCTACGCCTGCCATTATTTGTGTGGGTGTCCTGCCTTCAATAGCACCTAATAATAGTTGTCGTCCAATCATATAATAATAATTATAATATAATTTCTATTGTATATTATATTTATGAGTGATAGATTAACATATAAAAAATCTATGTTGATAGTGCCTATAGATTACCAGAAAGCAACTCCACCAGCGATTTTATTATAGAACTTGACCAAAAAATTGAAATTCCACCAAGAACAAAAATGGTCGTGACGGAGTGTTCATTCAGCACTCCGTTTTATACAACAGAGAAAGGGTTTTACGAACGCTTCTATATTATGTTGTATAATAGTTCCAATGTATTATTGAGAAGCACTGCCGTTGATGTATCCGGTGAAATTTATTATGCTAATCAATTATCATACAAAATGCAAACGGAATTAAACACGGCATTTAATGATATTGTGCCTGACTTATTCTTAACAGTATATGGACAGAGCGAACGCAAAATGGAACTTAAATTAAATGACCCTCTAAATTACAAAATCACAATACCTACAGATGAAGAAGTAGAAACTTATGTAAATGGCGAATGGAACAGAGGACAGTTTGAATATGACAACCTGAGACCAAAGTCTATTAACTATTTATTAAGTAATTATATTGTCTACGAACCTGCGTCATCTTGGTTAAGTGGATATTTTAATTTAGTTCCTTTTCAGAATATATACATAAATTGTCCTCAATTAAGCGATTATAAATATTCAGCGCCTAATAATTTCAGCAGTTCAGTAATTAAAAAAGTTCAAATCAATCAACAACTTGGCGGAGTTATAACAGATTTTACAGCTCCCATATATGCAGATTTTATTGATGTAGGCGGTAAAAGTATTAAGAGACTACACTTTAGAATAACAACTTCAAGAAACGAATTAATTGATTTTCATGGCGTTCCCATTTCTTTTAGCATTCTCTTTCAATTAGATAATTGAATAAACAACCTAATTATTAATATTTATATCAAATTATTAATATTAATATTTCTCAATTTGTCCATATAGACAAAATATATAAAAAAAATATAGACAACATATATAGTATATTATATATGTCAGAAGTTGAGCCTGAAATTACTAATACAATTGAAGCAGACGAGCCAGTAAATGAATTACCACCAATTGACGAAGAAGCACCAAAGGCAGAACAAATAATAGAAGCAACACAAGAAATAAAACCTGTTGAACGCGAAGCATTCGCGTTGCTACGCGAACCTCTTAAAAACAACTCAAAAACTCAAGCACGCAATGAAAAGAAAATAACCTGTCCAAAATGTGCCAAAACTTTAACACTAAAATCATACAGATACAGTCACGAACGCAATTGCCAAGGACCATTAGAATCTAAACCCATAAAGCCTAAACCAAAAGCAGTTCCAATAGCAAAACCCCAGAAGGTAGAATATCACGAAGAAGAAGAGCAATACGTTCCACCACGACAACAGCAACAAAATAATATAATAGCGAACACCCCGCCCCCAAGAAGAACGCAACCGCAACCGCCTCCAAACCCGCTACAAAATATAGCACAGCATTACCAATTATTGCAAAATGAATATCCGCCGACCCCTTTCTCCAAAGGGGAGGCGCATGGGAAGGGCTTGTATTCGTCCTTGTCTTCGTGATGTTTATCAGCACCACTGATGTTGGGTGATGGGTTCGCAGCATCCGGGTCATCAGCATTCTACGATTCAAGCTTGCCGTTCAACCCGGCTTGGAATGCAGTGATGCATTTTAGTCATGATTGTTATGACAGCTGCTGCTCATGCAGGGGATGCATAGTGATGATTGCCATCAGGATATCATCACGGTAACTGCTGGTGATGCTGGAGATGCGTAGTGATAATCATCAGGATCATCATGATCATCATGAGCAATGCTGCATCTGATCATCATCATTACTCTTCTCATCATCATCATGATGGTCATCATCATCTCTTTCTTGTTCTTAGATGCATTTCAAAAGTAACGTTAGATGCATTGGCAATGCAGAGGATGCTACGATGATAGTTATCATCACAGTCCTCATCCTTATCATCACTATCATCATGGTCATCATCATCATCTCTTACTAGCCGCAGCATCCGGATCATCAGCATTCTACGTTTCAAGCTTGCCGTTCAACCCGGCTTGGAATGCAGTGATGCATTTTAGTCATGATTGTTATGACAGCTGCTGCTCATGCAGGGGATGCATAGTGATGATTGCCATCAGGATATCATCACGGTAACTGCTGGTGATGCTGGAGATGCGTAGTGATGATCATCAGGATCATCATGATCATCATGAGCGATGCTGCATCTGATCATCATCATCATCACTCTTCTCATCATCATGATGGTCAGCATCATCTCTTTCTTGTTCTTATACGCATTTCAAAAGTAACGTTAGATAGCATTGGCAATGCAAAGGATGAAACGATGATAGTTATCATCACAGCCCTCATCCTTATCATCATTATCATCATGGTCATCATCATCATCTCTTACTAGCCGCAGCATCCTTATCATCATTATCATCACGGTCACCATCATCTCTAATTAGCCGGCACTGGTGATGCCGAGGAAGCTACGATGATAGTTATCATCACAGTCCTCATCCTTAT